ATATATATATATATATATATATATTCATAACAAGTTAACGGATGTACAATAAATTCTTCAACACTATAGATATTATGGGCATGTCATAAATACTATATATGTAGTTCTCTCCTTGTCAAATATCCACTTAGGCCCATTCAATTACTTTAGAATTTCAGTTGACAAGCCAAACTATCTTCTCTATTTCTATCACACTAGTATTCTCTGTGATTCGCTTACAATTGTGGCACGAGTTACCGTAATCGTTTGGTCTTCTTTCTTTTGTAGATCCTCTGTTCCTTTTGTCAAAGTGCACTAAGGCTGGTTCAATTACTTTAGAACCATGCTTTGACAGAATAAAATTATTTTTCTTGTCTTCTTTTCTACTGTTAGTTTCACTAACATATTAAACATTCAGCCTATGTCAGTCATTCGGCCTATCACTTCTATGGTAGTTAACTTCATGCCAACTTTATACTCTTTTGCTATTAACTGTCTACTTCTGTCTGTCTTCTTCCTGCTCTTCTCACGCTTTTTATATGATTATCACTTACTCGTCTACCTGCCTTCTCGACGTCAATGATTTATTAACAAAACTTCCTACAATAGTCTGCTTTTAATTTTTATTATAACAAAAACTAAACAATAATAAAACATTCACTCACAGAACTGAATTAATCAATAATATGACAACAATACTATCTGAACGAAACAGTCTTTTATATCATGACACATATTGTCATCTTACATTATGCTAAGTTCATCATGGTAACCAAAGAGTACGTTTCCTAATTAATAATCGTATTACTTAACTTAGGTACTTCACGGTCGCAGTATTTTAAAATAAAATAAGTTACTTATTATTAGATAACGATTACCTTGGTAGCTTCTCGGCGTTGGAACTCTACCTTAGCCATTTCTGTTGCCACCCACTGAGGTATGTCGGGTATAGCGTACGCTATTCCAAACTTCAGGGAGAGAATGATGTGCTATAGGAAGAGACAAGTCATTTCTACTTGTGAATTTTATTTACATTTTATATATTAAACACTATATTTGTAACTTAACCATACTGGTGATATATCTTGAATATGTAACATTTATAAATCTCTCAATTTACTAAAAATATGTTAGAAGGACGTTATGGATAAGGGCTTTCATTCTATGAAGACAAAGTTACTTCTTCACTGGCGAGTTATTCAATGTTCGTTATCCTTCCTTTAACTAGTACTGGCCAAATTTCAATTGATTTTATTTCTGTACTATTACTACTAATTTTAATGTAGAACATTACTTAAACATCCTACATCACCTGTTACTCGCATCTTCAAATTGCAGTCAATATGTATGTAACCACAATGGTAAATTGATTGAGAGAATGTTATCAAGACAGAGAGTTTCCAAAACAGAATACAGAGGAAACTAGAAATGAAAAGACCATACTGACTGCATAACTCATGACAACTTGGCAATCGGGAAAAATAAAAGCTTTTCTTTCTTTGGGAGAGGATACTCTGAGTGGGCCTGAAATATTAGGAACGTATTCAGACTGTCTAGAAGTAAAGGTACTTGGTGCATCCAAAGAGGAAGATTGTAGTAAAGATTGTCTTTTTCTCTTAAGTGATGGGAACTTGAAAGACTTGCCCCATCCATACTTTTGTTGGGAATACAGCATTTTTCACCAACCGAAGAGGCAGAGGATAGTGGTGGAGATGCAGTGTCAGAGTCTTGAGATCCAGACTTCTTCATCTTATAAAGATGAGGCAAATTAAACTTATTCCAACTAGAATTTTTCCCAAGATTCTGGGGGTAGGGCAACTAATTCCTCCAATTCTGTTATTCTTGCTTAAGGTCTACAAAAATTTGTGGACAAATGTTTTCTTTTTTGCCTATTTCTTATTTTTCTTACCTATAAGCAGAGGAGAGCCAGGTTGTAACTCTGGTCTACAAGGAGGAGCTCTAGTAGCTTTTGTCTCGTGACTTGAATGTGTACTAAAACCTAAAAACCCTCAACTGTTTCTCAGTCTGGTCTGCTTCTTCAAATGGAATTGGTTCTTGAAAGCAAGTGCTGTAGTTGTCTTGGATCTTGAACTAGTAGCTTTTGTCTCGTGACTTAAATGTGTACTAAAACCTAAAAACCCTCAACTGTTTCTCAGACTGGTCTGCTTCTTCAAATGGAATTGGTTCTTGAAAGCAAGTGCTGTAGTTGTCTTGGATCTTGAAGATATTAATTGTTTCTTTTGCTAAAACGTTTTGTAAAAGTCATCTTGAGTATTTTGTCTGTTACTGTTCTTATTAAAATACTTCTGGTTACTTTTCATGCTTAATTCCAGGTGTAGTTTAACTTTGAAAATCAGCTTGGAAGTTGTATCAAAACAAGTTTCAGTTTTTGTGCTCTTTTGACCCACTTCTAAATGACACAAGACTCATATGTGACAGATTTGTACTACCAGATCTGATGAGTATCACCACATATTATGGAATCTGGACTGGTTAAATCAAGAATTCAGGATTCAGAAAAAAAGTTTCAATAAACGAACACAAGTATTGCACAATACTTCAAGTAAAATTATAATTCTTTATGAAGAATTCAGAGTGTTGTTTCCAAAAATTGTAATTTTCTTTCAAAAGATAATTAATGTACTTTATTGAGTTTATGAAACCCAGTCTATTATTTGATTTACCACTTGTCATTGAGTTATGCTGGTTTCAAGGAATTCCACCCCTCATCCCAGGACAAGTGCAAATTGAAAGAACGAGACCAGACATTATACACGGCTTGTTTGCTGAATAATTCATAAGAATAAATTACTAGCACCAATGCTAAATATTATTCAAATTTTACAAAAAATAAAGGTTCACTAGCACCAATGCTAAATATTATTCAAATTTTATAAAAAATAAAGGTTCACTAGCACCAATGCTAAATATTATTCAAATTTTATAAAAAATAAAGGTTCACTGTGGTGAGTAAAAGACAACTCAAACACTATATATGTAATTTACCGAGTGTTTATTTCAAGTAACAGAGACATAATATAGAGAAAACTAACAGAGATGGAAAATAAATTTACTCCATTTCTGCCAATTGATCAGTTATATGGTGTTATTGGTAAAACTGAGAAACAAATAATAATTATATGGCCTACAATTGGATATACTGATAAAACTGAGAAACAAATAATAATGATATGGCCAACAATTGGATATACTGGTAAAACTGAGAAACAAATAATAATGATATGGCCAACAATTGGATATACTGGTAAAACTGAGAAACAAATAATAATGATATGGCCAACAATTGGATATACTGGTAAAACTGAGAAACAAATAAT